GGCTGGCATGTGGTGCTGGGGGATTGAACCGGGGTCCCTGATGCTTTGCTAAGCTTGTTCCAAGTAGGTGCCCCAGACCACTGAGCCATCTCACCAGCCCCAAAAATGTGGTATTTTTATATAATGCAGTATTACTCAACCATAAAGAAGGACAAACTCAAGACTTTCATAGGTAAATGGGCACAACTAAAGACCATACTCTTGGGGCTGGCGAGATGGCTCAGTGGTCTAAAGCACCTACTTAGAACAAGCTCAGCAAAGCACAAGGACTGCGGTTCAATCCCCCAGCACCACATGCCAGCCTGTCCCGCCCCCTGGTGGGCTGAGCTGGCCACACACACACACACACAATAAATAAATAAAACTAAAAAAAAATTAAAAAAAAAAAAAAAGACCATACTCGTAAGTGAAATCAATCAGACTCCTGTGCAAAAAATGTAGTCTTCCTGGTATGAAAAACTGAAAGAGTAAGTTCAAAAAATGTACAATAGATATTGTGAAATAGGGGAAAAAACCGTTCAAAAGGAAAAAGGAACTAGGATACATAAAAGGGGAAAGGACAGGGAAAAGGAAAAAAAATGCAAATTAGTTATACTATCAGTGTCTCTTAGTTCATTAAAAGGAAGGTTTGTGCTAATATCAATTGGAGAAATTTTTATGCCTATATCTTATACCCTGAGCAGCTACTTTAAAAATAACATGAAAATATTAACTATTATTTTCCCTTTATTTTGTTGAAATTTTGTTTTTTTTTTTCTACAAAATGTTTTTTTAAATGCTAAAAGAGGGCCAGGGATATAGCTCAGCAGCACAATGCCTGCAAAGCAAGTCCAAGGTCCTGAGTTTGATTCCAGATACTAAAAAAAGAAAGCTAAAAGAATAAGGGCACTACAACTCCCTGATGCTAAAATAAACGAGGTTTACCATCCTGCTCTCTTTATCTATTTTCCATCTATTCTGCTTATTCTCTCATCTTAAGGCTCAAAGCAGCTAAGCTTATGGAACAGGTGATTTCTGCATCATAATATCAGTCCTGGAACAATTTTTGTTTGTTCAAACACTAAGAGAAGGGTATCAAGTACAAATTTATAAGTGCAAATAGTTACGTTTTATCTCCACAATACATATTTACTGTATTCTAAAAAAAGAAACCACTATAGTAAAAATATAAAAACCACACACATTAAAATAGCAAGAACTTCAACTAAACTGAAATAAAACTTTTTACCCATAAGAGACATGGTTTGATGAAATATTACAAAGTTCCCCTACTTTATGTGGTCATCATGCCAAAAAGACAAGTCCATGCTGCTGAATTTTCTACTTACATATCTTCTAGATTACTATTCCTCTTGGCAGATGTGTCTAGCCCTGCAATTAAACCTATCTATTACGTTAATTTTAGTTGCCATATTTTCAGTTTCAGAATTTCTTGATTCTTTTCTATTAAGTTAATGTTTTCCTATGGAATTTTATAATAAATCTATTTTTTCAAATCCATTTATTTATTTATTTATTTGGTACAGGGTCTTAATACGTAGCTGGGACTCACAGTGACTTCAGCTTCCCCAGCACTGGGATTACAGGTATGTGCCACCACGCCTGGTCTCAGTAGCCGGCTTGGTGCAGGGTCAGCACAGTACATGGTTATCAGGGCTTGAACCCGGTTCCTTGCGTTTGCCAGGCAGGCACTTAGACCGCTGAGCTACTTCCCCAGACCCTCCTGTGGAATTTTTAATCTTAGTATCTATTTTCATGAACAGATCAGTAATAGAATTTTAAAGCCCCTGTAACTCTGAAGTCTACACAACCTGGATTTGTTTCTATTGTCAATGTCTTCCTGTTGATCTTATTTTGTGCCTAGCAAATTTTTTATTGAATGTCAGGCTGTATGTGAACAACTGTATGAAAATGACTACAGAAAAAATTTTGGGCTAGGGAGACAGCTCAGTGGCATAACCACCTGCCTGTAAGTGCAAGGTTCCGAGTTCTATCCAAAGCAGCTTACTCACTGGAAAATGCAAGAGGAAACCCAACACAAAATGTGGCTATCTCCTTTCTCTCTTCAATCTTGAGTTCAAGGCTGAGCTGACTCAGAAACACTAAAAGGATTTCAGAAGGATTTCATTTCCCTAGTATTTGTAATAGTTTTAGAAAAGATAACATTCATTATTTCACCAAACTAGGTAAATTTATGAGACAGCAAACTAAAGAGCTGATTCCAACAACAACAAACTATAGCACATCTTAAATGCCATATTCTTCACTTTTTTTTTTTTTTTCATGAACAGAATATATTTATTGAGGGAAAGAAAGCTCCTGTCCGAGAGAAGGAGTGGAGGGGGGCCCGAGTGGCATGTCCCCTATCCTTCACTTCTGATAGCCAATCTTTATTGCTCTACTTCGACAGTCAGTATTCCATGCCATTTGCTAAAACATATTAGCTATTTAAGGCAAATAAGACAAGTGTCTCTCTCATCTCTTTGTTTCTGTAATTTTACACTAGAGATACTTTCCTTTGCAAGGCTCTCAGAATTATCCTGTGCAGTAAAAAGAAAACTGAGTAGGCTTATGGTGTTAAACTCTAAACATGCTAAAGAAAGGACTCAACTAAAAAGTTCTCTGGAAGGTAAACTACAAGCCCTTGGAATATTCTACCTACAAGGATGTATCTGTATACCTGAGACTGGATCACACCAGACATTGTTTCTTGTAGTGCTAGGGACCAAACATCTAGGCAAATTTGTATCACTGAACTCATTGCCAGATCTCATTCTGATAACTTACATTAAAAATGTGAATTATAGCCAGTGCCTAATTTTGTATGCATAGAGCTCTTGCTATGAGGGAGGAGGTAGGACAGGGGTGACTAAAGGCTAACTAACTAGATAAAATCAACCATATGGGCATTCCACGCCTACCTGATCCCAACAAAAATCATGGATCCAAAGATTGATTTGAGTTTCCCTGGTAACATTCTTTGTGCATACTAACACACTTAGTTACTAGAAAACGAGCTACCTGGACAACTCCAATAGAAAGGACAACTGGAAGCTCATACATGGTTTCTCTTACACTTATCCAAAAAATACCTTCTCCTCCATGTTTATTTTAACTTGAACTGCTTTAGATGTCACAAACCAAGTAGTTTCATAGCTGTTTTCTGAGTTCTGTGAGTTCTTACAGGTTTTGTCTCGAGGATCCCAATACACACCACTGTATGCCCAAACAAAAACTCCTATGAACTGGCAGTTGGTAACTACCAACTTTAGAT